GAAGGGGCGGATACGGACAAGGGGGGAGGGGCAGGGGGCAGGGAGGAAGGAGGAGTAGGGAGAGAGCTGCAGGGAACCGGAGACAAACGGGAGCCCGAGGAGGGTGCCAAGCTCATAGACCATTAGGCTTCAGGACTTCCGGAAGGCTGTGTAGGTGCTGGGCCATCCTGGCATGAAGCCATGTGCGGGATCCACAGGCACCACTCCGCCTCTCCAGAAGTGGCTTACGGATGCCTGTCAGCCTCAGGCTGTGAGCAGCTTTGTTCTGTCCGTGGGCTGGGCTTTGTCCCAGATGCTGAGAGCTTCGTCTGTGAGGATTTCCATTTTCAGAAATGAATTGGCCTTTTCCAGACAGCCCTTTGGGGTGTGAGGAGAGGCCTGGGGGAGGGATCCAGGGGCAGCTCTGTGGGGTACAGTTGTGAGGCCGAGGTGTGTCTAGGGCGTGGGCACAGGAGTGGGAACATGGGTCTAGTGCTGTGCATTTGGGTTTGAGGGCAGCTGCTGTGTGAGAGGTTCTTGCAGGGAGCAGGAGGCAAAGCAGCTCTGCATTTGTGCCCAGCCACACTGTGCCCCGGGACAAGGGGAGACTAGAGTGCGGAGAATACTGGGACAGCCAATTGAGAGACAGGCAAATTCTGTGGGGCTTTATTTCTACGGTCATTCCATGTAGGTGTGGCAGTCACCCTCGCTCTGCCACTGAATGAGCTGTGATTCAGGTATTCACAAGGCATACACGTGCACACACATACAAAGGGCAGACATACGGGCACATCCACAGACATGTGTACATGTTGCCCATCTTGATTCCATCCAGGGGACCCCTGAGGGATGGAGTGGACAAATCTGCCCTGCAGGTGGGAGTCCAGTCCTTTCTGTCTGGCTTCCCCGCCCCAGCTCCTCAGGAAGGCTGTGGCTCCGACCCTGTGGGGTAAGTGCCGCTATGAGTGCCAGGCTATGAGGACCAGGAGGTACTGATTGGAGGCTTTGCTCCCAGGGAGGAGACCCCTGACGCTGGCTAGCTTCCTTGGTATGGACAATGGGGACACATACAGTCTCCTCAGGCAGACAGGAGAGCAGCTGCTTGTACCCTGGGAGGGGCTGATGCTGACCACAGATTCAGGACTGTCCAACCTACAGCAGTAGGGTGCTTCTGGCAGCCCATGTCTCCCCCAGCCAGCATCTAGCTGTTGGGGGGCAGGCAAAGCTGTGACTCATTTTAGAGTCAGGGGTCAGGCCTAAGGAGAGCAGCTTCTGCTGGGCAGCCTCACTCACCCATAGCAGTGAACAGAAGTTCCTACCCTCAGGGGTGCTGACCTTGGGATGGGGAGAACAGGCACACGCATGCTAGTGGAAGGTGATCTGGGGGGTGGACTTGGCTGTGTCCTTGCCTGAAGCAGGTGTGGAGGGCTGTTCAAGTAGGGACCAGAGCTCTTGGAGGAGGTTTCAGGGGAGGGAGAGGCTGCCAGCCAGGTCTTTCCTCCAGGGTTTCTGTGGGGGAAAAGTGGGTAGTAGGGGCCTGGGCAGGCTGGGGAAGAGGCCTTAATCCTCCCTCAGAGGCTGTGGGGGTCAGGAAGATCAGAGGCTGGGAAGCCGTGGGAAGAGGTTGGGAAGTCCTGAATCCTGTGGCCTTGGGCAGCACTGACCTTGACCATGGGCTTCAGGAGGGATTCAGGATTTTGGGGCTCAGCATTGATACCTCCCCCTGGCTTCTGGGCCTCCGATGGTGAGACTGCGGGTGGGTAAAGCTGTTGACTGCCTGCCCCTCATGTTCTGCAGACACATGTAGGTGGAAAGTCCCAGCTTAGGGAACCTGGCTGCAAAGCTTCCAGCTTTGAGCTGAGCACAAACAGGAAGGAGCCAATTGCTCCCCCAGGGCCTAGGCCCATCTCTTGCTGCTCCCTGCAGCTTCACTACCCTAAAGGCCTCATACAGGCGGAAAAGCTGTTAAGAGGTGGGGCCTGGGAGTAAGTGCAGAAGGCTCCACGGGGCACTCTTTCCCAAGGGTGGGCTGATCTCCCCCACACCCGTAGGAGCCAGTCCCTCTCAGAACAGGCCTGGGTTTGGGTGGGGTGTGTGCCTGAAGCCGGCAGTATTCTCACCTCCTAAAGACTGCTCAATCCTAGAGGGCTTCACTGAGATGGGGTCACTGTGGAGGGCCTTGGGACATGTCCCTGGGGGTCTAAGGGCACATGGCTGGAGATGTAGAGTCCTCTCTTCAGGAGAGGCTATGGAGGGTCTCATCCTGTCCCTAGCTTGGGGCAGCTGTGGTCACTTGGACAGCAGAGGCAAAGTGAGCAAGAAGTGTGTAGGTATCAGTCCAGTGGGAGGGGTCTCCCCAGCACATCATTGCATGGGACACCTTCCAGCTGTGCCTGCAGTGTCAGGGAGCCCTGAGAACCCAAGAAAGGCCAGAGAATGTCCATATGTCTGGCATTCTCCTCAGTCCTTGAATTTCTCTGAATGAGCCTTGCATAGGCAAGGCAATTCACGCTCTGGCTTTCTTAACCTCAGAGGCCCCTGCTGAGTTGTGACTTTCAAGGGGGCAATACTTATCCCTCCCCACGGGGACCATGTCCATATTTGGCTGGTTTCTGGGCCTGGATTATGTGGGCATCGCTACCTGTAGACCTCAGACCAGGCTGTCCATTTGTGGGCAGATAACACAGGGATGGGAAAGCTGGAGGACAAAGCCTGAGGGAGATGACCTCATCTCCTGGATCCTTCTCTCCTGGAGCTCGCAGGGTTGGCAGCACAGACATGGGCTGGTGGCCAGAAAGTCTGGCATGATGGACCGGCTGGAATTAGGGGGCTCTTGGCTTTGCCCATCTCTTCCCCTTCCCATCTGCCTGGCACCAACCTGCGCTTAGAGGATGGGTGCTGGTGTGAGCCTGCTGTAGACATTTTGGCTGCTCCCTAGGAGGACTGATCCAGTACCCTGAACACAGCACACATATACACATCTGTGCACAGATCCTGGCAAATGCACATGTGTACACACATGCCTGCTGTGTTAGTCACTTTTTCATCATTG